GGCGAAAGGTGGAGCTGGGGATGGAGGAGGGTAATTTGCTCCAGAGCAAGCTGAAAAGCTGCTGAATAATACGGAATAGAGCTTATATAGGAATTAAACTTGTTCTCATGGCCTTAACTATCGGCGTGTCCTCAGAGCGATTACATGCTCTAGACGTCGTGTTGCTCCAGCTGTATGAACACAGATGCGTAAATGCTGCTGCAAATATGCTTTTTTCAATTAGCAGACCAGGTAATATACACAGCGATATGGATTAAAACAGCATTCACTTATCTTAGATGTGGATTTCAGATGTTCTGAAACACGCTGCAACAGTTTGATTTGCGAGCAGCGATGCTTAATTTGCTCCGAAGCAAGCTGAAAAGCTGCTGAATATTACTGAATACAGCTTATATAGGAATGCCGCGATAGGTGTCGTATTCCTATAGGTAGATGTGATCAGCTGAGAATCAGCTGATGCAAGCTTGACTCACGTGACCTGCCAGAACTAACGCTAAAGCTTAATTTATTACAATGTTAATATGCAAACCTTTGAATTAACTCACTTTATTTGCAGAAACCGACTGCACTTAATTTGGAAAATTGGCATTTGATTATAAACTAATATTTATAATAAGTAACACAAGCATATAGGTCTTAAAAACTATTTTGCTTAAGTTCTTAAAAAAAACCTACTGATTTATGCAAAGTCATTAAAAGCATTAATTCAACTCAAATCTCTTGCAGATAACAGCAGAACACATTCATGTGCAATTGAAGTTATTGAAGAAATTCACACTGCATCAGTAACTACACAGTTTCTGCCTTTAAATAAAACAACAAGCAGTATAACATCAGTGTTTCTCTGTCCGTCCTTTACTTAAACACAGGCTCTGCTCTCCAGCACAATGGTGACCCACAAAACACAACAGGAAGTTTACTGTTAGGTTTTACAGTATTTTGCTGTTTTCTTTTCTTGATTTTTTACGGTGAAATACCGGCAGATGTGATTGCCAGTAATCTACAGTTTTTTACAGTTTGCTTCAGTAAATTAAATGAACAGTATATTTCTGTTAAAAATACATTTCACAGTGTGTTTTTCTTCATCTCACTCATTTAACCCCTTTAAATCCCACAGCAAAATCCTCAGTATTAAAGAGCCCTTATATGTGTCCACACTACAGAGTGTTGAAGTGACACTGAAGCGGTGATGAAGTTAATGAGATAATTAAGTGAGGATTGAGCATTAGTGATGAACACCTGTTAACAAGCAGAATCACTGAAGGAAAGAGAAACAAGAGCAGAGAAACACAACTTACAGCCAAAGCCAAAGATGAAATCAACTGAAATTTTATCAAGATCTCAGCAGAGGAGGATTAAACAGCTCCACAAACAGCATCACCAGCTTCTTATTACTAACCAGTGTGACTTTATTTCTCTCATATGTGTACAAAAGCTCTTATTGAGATTTTAGGTGTTGTACTTTCATTTGAAGTCACCATAATGGTGACCGGTGTTTGCTTTAGTTGTGCTCTTGAACCTTGACTCATTAAAAATTGTTTTTCTTTGGTTGTTAAAATTTGGGTGTTCATTTATTACAGTTTTTATAGCAAGAAAAGCCAAAAGACTCTATGATCAGATGAAACTGGTGGTTGTGATGTCAAGACCATCATGAACTAGTCTGATTCACTGCTCTCACCTAACGTTTAACCTTTTATTAAGTGTGTAACATATAACTAATACTATTGAGTTGCACCACTGATACTACCGCAATCATTGTGAAACATTATTAAGCACTATATACACAAATAAAAGCTTTGAATTATGGCAGAACGCAAACACACAGACATCAACAGTCAGCCTATGAATCTCAAGATTGGTGACAATCAAAAAAAGAAATTCATGTTGCAATGCATGCTGGGAGTTTTGTACTGGCACCCAGCATGCATTGCGGTATGATTTTTAAAAAAAAGTAATAATAGTCACCATTGTTGAGATTCATGTGCTGATTCTTCTGTGTGTGTCTAAACGATGCTGTAGCTTTAAAGATTTTGTGCATGAAATGTTTTTAAATTTCCTCTCAATAGTTTGTCAACATATCTTGTAGTGTCATATTAGTACCATGAACAACAAAATAAATAAATTAATCAACCCATATGATTAGACACTAATTGAGATCAGTGAATCAGATCATGAGATGACGATTTCATCATCATTAAAGGGTTCATATGATGTGATTTCAAGTTGTTCTTTCTCTTTGGAGTGTTACGAGCTGATTGTGCCTAGATAAGATCCCTGAAGTTGCAAAGACTAAATTCTCAAAACCAAAGAGATATTCTTTATCAAAGTTAAGACTCTGCCACGCCCCCCTAAAACGCCTCGTTCTAACACGCCCCCACATATCTACCTCACTATGTGGAAATATTTGCATAATGCGCCCAAATGTGCAGCAAAGAAAGAAGGCGTGGTTTCAGTAACCGCAGTTAGTGTTGAAGCAGCATGTCAGGGAGACGCTGTGTGTTTCTAGGCGAAAGCAAAAGCACTTTATTTGGCCTTCCGAAAGTAGATGCATTTAGGAATACAAAATTATGATCTTTAAAAAAGCATCATATGACCCCTTTAATAGTTATCAAAACCACTTCATTACAATTTATCTCAGCTCTTCTTGTCATAACAAATGTGTTTCTCTCTCTCTCTCTCACTCACACACACACACACACACACACACTCACACACACACACACACACACACACACACACACACACA